TTTCTCTGCTGGAAGCAGGAATACAAAAAAAGTACTTCCAGCTCGGCCACTGGATGATTTTTATCAGCTCATTTTAGTCAATAAAGAAAGAAGTCAATCACTCCTGGAAAATAGCACTTTCCAGGGCTGTATAAACCCAGGCAGTACAATCACAGGATAAATCAATAACTGCATTAATCAATAGGATGTAAACTGCTGATCTCTGTGGATAAATTGTACTGGTGTAAGAAGGCTTTCAAATAAATTCTGAGCCCACTCAAACAGCACAGGCTTTAAATCTACTGAGGGCAGTGGGACCCGGGAAAGATTTGTGCTGTTTCTCTTTAAAATCTCTGGGATAGCAAAGCTGCAGAATAATGTAATTAAATCATGTTAGTAATGCTCACACACTCACACACAAAGTTTACTGCAGTGAGAGCTCCAGAAAATATCCCTTCACTCAAATCTGCCGGGAACAGGAGGTTTCTGGGATTGTGTGGTACCTCTGGAGGAAAAGGCAGGATGAATAAAGTGGTGAGACACTGGCACAGGTTGCCCAGAGATCCCTGGAAGTGTCCAAGGCCAGGTTGGACGGGGCTTGGAGCAACCTGGGCTAGTGGAAGGTGTCCCTGCCCATGGCAGGGGGTGCAATAAGATCACCATTAAGGTCCATTCCAACCCAAACCACTCTGTGATTCTGTGATTTCTGTGATTCTGTGATTTTATGATTTCTGTGATTTCTACGAAGAGGAAGGAGTGCCCAGAGAAAAGAAGGGAAAGCTGAGCTGCCACCTGGTTATTTTACAGCCCCAAGAGCTGCAGGAGGTTTTACGTCTCCAGGCACCTCCTTTTCTCATAAAACCTCCACCGAAGCATCTCAATTTTTATTTAACATGTCACCATAACATAGCCCAATGCAGGGCCCAGGGACACGGGGCTTGTAAGGGAAAAATCAGGTGATACCTGAGGAGATGGGAGTCCCTCTGCTCCAGCTGTGCTGCCCTGGCAACGTGGCTGGAAAACCAGGACAAGGAGGTAAAACAGGGAAATAATTCTGGAAAATTTGCGTTGGACTTTTCACTGCGGGTCTGAACGTGTTGTGCAGAAAGAAGGAGGGGATGAAAGCCATGGAGTTGTGCCCAACGTGAGTGGGAATGCAGCAGGGACGGGCACAGGTGGTGGGGATGGGCTGAAGGGAGGTTTCAGGCTTTAGTGCAATAATTAATAGATGTGCAGTGAGCAGGTCGGGGTCACAGCAGCCCTTTCTGGCAGAGCAGGAACCAGAGCCAGGCACGGCAGTGCCTTAATTAACCTGGCCCACCTCCCACACCGGCTGTGGGAAGCTGGATTTACTCAAGTGCAACAATTCCAGAGCCTTAAATGTGTCTTATAAAAAACTTCTGGTGTCCTTTTGTGCTTCAGAATTGCTCCAATTCATCCTCTAAGGATGATAAACGTTCGTAGCTGTTTTTCAGTACTGAAATATATTGGTCTTATAGAATAGATTAAGTAAAGAAACAATACATAACAGTGTGGTTAATATGACATTTTAATTGCTACATCAGGCGTATTTTCAAGTATTAAGTCCTAGGAACTGATAAAAAAAGTTCATATTAAAAAAAAAACCAGAATGATTGAAGTCATTTAGAGGCCCTTGCTGGACTATGCTGTCAAAATGTCCAACTGACCTTTTCCTTATGGTAAATTTGTCCAAGGGAGATTTTATACAAGCTATTTTAATTTGATTTCCCCGCCCTCCCCCCTGTTTTTTGGATTAGATAATGATCAGAGCAAGAGAAATGTCAAATCCTTACATATACTCTGCAGATGGCCAGGGGCCATTCTATATGAAGTCTCTGCAACTTTATTTAAATTTTTAGAGGTATTTCTGAATGCATCATTTGCCACTCTTTCACATTTTCAGTTTGGAACAATCCTGGATGTGTTATCCCTCCATTAACTCCCGGTCAGGAGCAGAAGGTGGCACATAGGGATTGTCCCAGCTCAGTGGGGGTGGGATGGGTCACTCCCTGGCACCAGCAATGCACAGACCATGGGCAGTGCCTGTTCCTACCCGAGCTGTGCTTTGGAGAGCTCCTCATCCTTTGGAACAGCTCAATAATCCCTTGTTGGTATCCTCACGCCTCAATCCACACTCACCCAAAGGCAAACACAGCCCTGGGAGTGTCCAAGGCCAGGTTGGACGGGGCTTGGGGCAACCTGGGCTAGTGGAAGGTGTCCCTGTCCATGGCAGGGAGTGGCACTGGATGAGCTTTACAGTCCCTTCCACCCCAAACCAGTCTGTTATTCCATTTTATTGTGGCTACACCTGCACAGGCATCCCATCAGATCTGGGAGCACCGAGATGCAGCAGCTCTTTGCCACTTCAAGGGAAATTGTGAGGGATGATCCTTGGAGGGGATGAAAAACACTGGTTTATTCAGAACAGGGCAAGTTCTCCCTTATCTTTTGACCAGGGAAAGCAAAGAGTTGGAAATGTAGTGCTCACACACTCACACACAAAGTTTACTGCGGTGAGAGCTCCAGAAAATATCCCTTCACTCAAATCTGCCTGGAACAGGAGGTTTCTGGGATTGTGTGGTACCTCTGGAGGAAAAGGCAGGGTGAATAAAGTGGTGAGACACTGGCACAGGTTGCCCAGAGGAGCTGTGGCTGCCCCTGGATCCCTGGAAGTGTCCAAGGCCAGGTTGGATGGGGCTTGGAGCAACCTGGGCTAGTGGAAGGTCCCTGAAGGGACAAAAATCCACGGAGGGGCTTGAGGAGGGAGCCGAGATCCCCTCAGCACATCCCCAAACCTCCCTGAGCAGAGTTCTCCCCTCCACACAGGCCCTGCAAATCACTGGGGGAGAATTCTCTGTGACTGAGGTGCATTCACATATTAATACAATCTTTTTCCACATTTACAACCCATTTATTCCTAAGTGTGATTTAGAGCTCGGTGTCAAGTCGTCACCAGGGCAGAATTCCAACGACCCGCTGGAAACACAGGGAGTTTCTGCACTTCAGGATAATGTTGATTTAGGGGCTGGTGCAATAGCCCACATGGGCTATTTTATTTAGTTTCTTGCCATTCCCATTCAAAAATTGCCCTATAAAAAAGGGAGAAGGTGTTAAATAAAGTTTAAATGCTCGTAAATCTCAAAGAAACATCGTGTTTGGAGTGAAGGGAAACGTTTGGATGGACTCAGAATTGCTTTTTTCATGGAGAAATATTTTGTTGATGTGTTAAATTTAAAAGGAAAATCTCTGACTGTGAGTTTCTTTCATTTTTTGGTACTTTGCTTAGGTTATCAAAAGAAAATAGGTATTACTGTTCCAGCTATTTGAAAATTTTGGCTGTGATTTGATCCGGTGCCTCTGAAGTGTGGTGATTTTAGATCTGATGCCTCTAAAATGCGGTAGAACTGGGCCCAAGTTTTCCTAATTTGGGTACTTTTGAGTGGACTGTTTAATTCATCTTCCTGGTTGCTAAAAATCTGGAGCACTGCAGAGTTTTTTGTTTGACTTCTTCCACAGTTTTCATTTTGTCTTCTGGTTTTAGGGGATTTATGCTGTTCCTGTTTCTGTGGTTTTTCCTGCAACTATGAGTGACAAAACTACTTTTTGACCTTTTTTCTTTCTTTTTAATGAAAGCTACCAGCCATCTGAACTCTTTCAACATCAGCTGCTTTAATAACATTTTCACACGACAAGGAGAGCTGGAATTCCACTGCTTTGGGCAGCTCAGACTCAGTTTGTCCTGGTGAGGCACCAAAAAAGAACTGGGGAGCTGAAGGGATAAAAATGGACCTGCACAAATCAGAGGGGTATAAGGATTTAGGGAGGATGGGCTGACATTATGTCAATATTTAAAGGATATTTAAAAAATATAAATAAATATAAACATATTTATACAAATATAAATATCAATTTTAAATATAAATATTTTAAAAATCCTCCTAAAGACTGCTTAGAATTCCTCTCCTGAGGCAGAATATTCACTTGGAAGGCCTTTTGAAGGGAGTTCAGCAAGGGAAGAGCTTCACTCATGTTCGTGGTGTTCCTCGATTATTCCTTCCTTTCCAAAGTGCTGCTCCCATGGGAGTCACAAAACAAGCCTGATGTAGAAATGATGAGGTTAAAGAGCCTGATTTGGCTCCTCCAGAGTGAGAAAAGAACCTCAGTGCTGCTCAGAGAACTGAGATCTGAAGAAGTGATTCAATGTTTGCTTCCACCGCAAGGAAAAAATGTTTTTACTTCATTAAGGTGTTACCAGGATTTTTAATGCCACATCCACTTCTTTCTAAACTGTTCCCTTCTTTTGAAAAAGCCGTGTTAAACCTCTTCCTAATAACTCCTGTGATTATCATCTTTGCAGAAATCCCAGAGGACAGGCTTCTAAAAGTGGTGTTTTATTTCCAGAGCCTCCCGGTAATTAAGCATCTCTCAGACCTTCTCTATTCAGCTGCTCTGCAGAAAATCTCTTTTCACTTGAATAAAAAGGTGTTTTGTGTAAACTTAACAGAAGGATTTCAGTTCTGTTATGAAATACAAGAGTTTTAGGCTCAGTTTAATGAAGGAAAATAAAGTGTATTCTTTGCTTAATGGACACAAGGAGGTCTGTGAGTGAGCAAAGGTCCTGCTGGAGACCTGCTGGGAAGGGGTGATATAAAAATCTCTTTCAAACTCAAGCAAATAGTTGTCACCTCTATAAAATATTTTATTGAGTTCAGTGTGGGGGTTATTGAACATCATCAGGTGTAAGTGATCTTTAAGGTCCCTTCCAACCCAAACCATTCTGTAATTCCATGATTCCATGGTTCTATGAAGTGATATTTGCTTCCTGTGGTTTTGCAACGTTTTTGTCATTTTTTATTTTATTTTATGGCATTTTCCCTGGAAGTCCAACCTGTGGGGTCTCTGTGAGTGATTATAGAATCCTAAAATGGTTTGGGTTGGAAGGGACCTTAAAGAGGTACCAAAGTTTTGGCAGCTTCCTCTAGGAATTCACATTTTAGACTCTCTCCCTGTCAATTTGGCCTCCCACACCCATGGATAAGAAATATATTTATTATGCTGTTTGAATAATTATCATGTACAGATGAACCTCTCTTCTTTTACTCATTCATGTGCTTGGACATCACCATCCCCATTAAAGAGATTCTTTTAAAAAATATTAGAGTGTTATAAAAGGAGGTTTCATTCAGGTCTGGTTCAAGGTTTGCTGATGCCACAGAAAGACTTTCTCTGGAATTCAATGGGCTTTGGGTTGGTACATTTGATTCTTTTTATTCAAGTTTCCCTTTTCTGTAGAAAATAGTCCAAATAATACATTTTACAACACCCTCTCTAATGCAGACGAGTGTAAAAAGTAAACAAATAGCTTTTATTTAATTGAAAATTGGAGGTTTTTTTAACAGGTTACATTGAAGAACAGGAGATAAATAATATCCACATCACAAGAAACTGCAACTCTCTTCTTCCCTCAGTTCCAGCAGCTTAGCCCAGCCTTTCATGTTTGACACACCATTAAATGGGGTTTCAATAAGAACTACTTGTAAAAAATTTGAGACCACCCTCCTTGTAATCCCAAATTACATTTGGCACTGCTCCACTTAACTAATGAATGTACATTTATCCTGTAATTTCAAAGCTTATTTTTAAAAATTCATGTCATATTGATAATATTTCCTTCACGACAGACCACTTGTACCTCCCTCCCCCAGCCCCAGCTGGTTCTTTACCAGGAATGTTGGTCATGGTGAAGCATTAAGACAAAATCTACAGGTTTTATTGTTAAAAGTCCGTGGCTGAGCTTTGCTTTAATCATCAAGGAAAAGGGGTTACAAGAACAGAACTCAACAGCAGGATCCCAGATGCCAATATATGGTTTAGCCTTTGGGATGCTTTTGTTGCTCCAGAGCTTAAACCTGTAGAAACAGAAGCAGACAGAGGTAAATTTGGGTCAAAATTTAGTTTTTATTATGCACTCTGCCATAACCATAATAATTGTCCTATTTTCAAAATGAAACATCGGCCACAAATATTATATTTATTTATATATGAAGTTGTAGCAGCACTTCCATGGAGTGGGGGTTTGAATTATCTTCAATAATGAATATTTGCTTTTAGGAGGGTCTTGTTGCAAAACTAACTAGTATAAATAAATAAATATATATATATATATGTAATATAAAAATGCTCCATTTTTCATGAAGAATAAGGTATTTCTGAGAGCAAAGGCTGGATCTTGGACCACCCCACCCCAGCCATGGAGCAGAGCTGGGCTTTTTGATCCCAGCAGAGCTCCAGAGCTGTGTGAAAGCTGCAGCTTTGACTTCTCATTTGGCAAGAAATCTTATTTCTGTGTCCTTCCCTGAGCACTGTGGGCAAGTAGAGATGGAGAACCACACAAAAAACAAGGTGTTGTGCAAAATAATTTCTCCTCCACTGAATCTCAGAGTATCAGAGACTCACCAGAAGGGAGGACACCTCTGGCCACGGGAGGGTTGTTAATCTGTTGTACTTCGAGGCACAGATTTCTTCTTATGCAACAGCATTCAGAGGGGAAAAAAAATGTCTCACTTACTTGATATTTTTGGAATCCTGATTTCCTCGCTGCTGCTGCCATCCCCACCATCACTGACTGTTCTGATTTCGATGAGATAATCTTCTTCAAACGGGACCAGAAGTTCAGCTGAAGTGTTGTTTGTCTCCAGGATATGTGCTTTGCTGTGTCTGTTTTGTCTGTACAAAATCTAAGGAGGAATGGAGTAGAAAACAAGAGTTATTTAATTTAGTTTTAAGTTTTAATGTTGGTTTTGGCATTGGTTTTTTGTTTTTTTTTTTTGCTTGAGAGATTCTTCTGTCGTGTCCCGAAGTTTTCAGAGCACTTTCAGCATCCTGAAGAGCATTAAAAGCAATTTAGAACATGGAAATATATTCTGCAGGATTTTTTGGTGGATACCACAACAGGCATTTACCCCAAATTTCATAGAATCCCATAGAATCATGGAATGGTTTGGATTAGAAGGGAGCTTAAGGATAATCCAGTCCCACCCCCTGCCATGGGCAGGGACACCTTCCACTAGCCCAGGTTGCTCCAAGCCCCGTCCAACCTGGCCTTGGACACTCCCAGGGATGAGACATCCCCAATTTCTCCCAGCAGAGCCTGTGTCTGCTCAGAGGGACCTTATTAAAATTAGGATTGGGAAATCCTTACCCAACACACTTGTGCTGTTCTGTAAATATGGAAGTTGGACACACCTTTAAACAAGACTTCACTCTGCTACACCTTTTTTATCCAGAACTCATAACTTGTCTGATTAATGAGGTAAAGACATGACTTACTTTGTAGCCCAACACCTCTGACTCGTTCTCCATTGTCTTCACGTGTTCCCAGTTCAAGCAGATTTTGGAATTTGTCAGCTTCCAGGCAATGTTTGCTGGGGGTTGACTCGGTGCTTTAAAAGAAAAAGATGTTGATAATCACAAGATACAAGTGAATATTAATTTGATGGTGTAGTCGAACGAGCTGCTGACATGTCAGTAGCAAATGCATGGGGGATTCAAACCTAAAAGAGTGAAAAACCCACTTTCCAGTCCATCATTGCTCTTGTGTTACTCAGAATAAAGATCTATTCATAGCACAGAACCAGTTGCTGTGAGGGTTCATTTTCAAAATTAGGAACAGCCTGAAAGTGTCTGACAGTTCAAGTTATATTTGATGGATTTGGTTGAAGTAAAATGTTGTTCCTGTCTGTATTTTAATATACAAGAGGGTGTTTTGCTTTGTGGGTCTCAGTAAAAGCTCCAACTAAGAGCAAACAAGATTTCATCAGCCATGAGGTTACAAAGAGCTGCACATTAAAGCCTCCACCTGATCCAGCAGGAAACATTGTAGGATTTTATAAATTCTTAGCACAATGGGCTGAGAGGAGCTTTTCAAAGGCTTTCTGTGCCTAAGTGCCCGGGCTTTGAAAATTTGCCTACAAGTGCCTGAAATCCCAGATGAACATGGGAGGTGGAAACTGCCTTCGAGCTGCAGCTCAGGTTTGGAACAACATCATCTCCTGCTCCGGGGTGTGTCCTCCTGGACCTGCCAGGGAGGAGGGTGGCACTGGGGGGGGGATGGGGTTACAGGAAATAAAGAGTTGAACAGAATTAAAAATAGGGGGAGAGATTTGGAGAAACACATTCTGAGCATCCCAGCCCTGACTCTAAAATGCTCAACTTCTGGGATCCTTCTCTTCTCCCTATTGTTGGTGATTAATGGATGCAACTTAGAAAACACTGTTTGTTTGGGAACATTCCATAATTTATTTCATTTCCCATGGACATAAAATAAATTGGTGGAGCCTGCTGGTTCAAAACTCTCTGCCTTGTGAGGGTGGAGAAGTTTAATCCACCCCACTGGAAGGGAAAGGAGATGTTGGTGGAGCTCCCAGGTGAGTATCCGTGGATGTCCTTCCATCAGCCACACTGCCAGTGTGGGACAAAGATTCCTTTTCATTTTGAAGGTATTTATATACATTCACATAGATAAAATAATGAATTTATTTAAATCTTGCTTCAAACCTCTTCGTTGCTTTCAGCAAATGTTTTGTATAAGGAATTGGAGAGCAAAATAATCACAAGAGGTAAAGAATGTCAGATGCTTCACTGTGCTCTGAAAAGTCTTGAAATCGCTCCAAAATGGGGGAATACTGCCTTGGTCAAAGATCTTTAGCACAGAAATTTAAAGACATCTTAATTTGTGGTCTTTGGGCTGAAAAACCACCACAGGAGGATTTTCAAAACAAAATTACCTGGGTTTTTTTAAGCCAGGAAACAGAATAAGTGGTAACACAGCACTTCCCCAAATCCACAGTAATATCCTCAAACAGAACCACAGCAAACAGGTCTAAGATTAGCAGATCATTTCCTCAATTAATTTCTTGTAATCAACATCATCAAGGAATAATAGAAGTGTCAAGTATCTGCTTAAGTTTATTAAGTTAATGAAGTTCCTCTCATGGTTTAGGTTACACTTGGCTTTATTGCTGCACTGAGCTGAGCTTTATCCAGGGCAAAGCATCTCTAATATCCATATAATATAGATATATGATGGGAATATATGTACATATTTGTAAAGAAAAAGGAAAAGCAAAGGAATTTCTGAACTCCACAAGTAAAGAAGCAGGAGAGAACAGCTCCTAATGGAGCTGTGTGTCCATGGAAGGACATCAATTCCACTTGCCTAAGTAGTTTTAACTTAAACCAGGATGTCAACTTAGACCTCAAATTGATCTCAGATAAGTATGTTTCAATCAGAATTGCACCTATCTGGCAAGAAGGATCATTTTTAGCTTTGTTTAGTCTCTGCAATAATGGACTGCAGGGAATGCTGGAATCCTTGAGGCTGAGCAGGAAGACAGAGCTATTACTTTGGAGCTCCATCTCCTGCTGTAGATGCACATTGTATTCTCCTGACATATTATCTCATATTGAAAGTGCTTGCATCTCGCAGAGACAGAGCTTAAAAATTTAATCTATATATTTAAATATTAAAAAGGTTATTTTGACTTTAATTTTTAAATGAACCATTAGCACGAGCCTGAATTTGACAGCAGATAAAGTTGATGTAAAACAAAAGCAAATTTATTCCTTCTATGTCTTGTCATTCCACTGCCTTGTCTTTAACTTGTCTTTCTTATGCACAGAGGAATAGAAAAAAAAATTCCAGAGATCAGTTTATTTCTCACAGAAATGGACTGTGAGAAGATTCATAAAATGATAGAATTTTTGGGGTTGGAAGGGACCTTAAAGATCATTTCATTCCACCCCCTGCCATGGGCAGGGACACCTCCCACTATCCCAGGTTGCTCCAAGCCCTGTCCAACCTGGCCTTGGACACTTCCAAGGATAAGATTCTCTTTGAGTCCTTAAGAAATATCTTCTCTGGCTTTATTTGGATTTATTTTATTTACATTAAATATGTTTTGTTGGTAATTAAAAGTCAATTAATTCATTTTACAAGTTGTTTCTTGTCCTGCACTTGGAGTAATAGCCTGGAACAGCACATAGACAAAAGGAAAACTGGTGAAAGCTGGGAGTAATATTTCCCTTCCATGCAAATGGGCTGATCAATTGTTTGCTGGGAAAATATAGTCTGAGGAAAAAACCTCACCATGTGGTTTTGTTTCTACAATTGGAGAAAATTTTAAAAAAATAATGACTAAATGGCATTTGTATAAATTTATCCTTTAGGCTGCCCTCTGTAGTGCAGTTTAGAGGTCTCAAAAAACCTCTGGATTCGGAGCATTCAACAGTTTTCTTTAAAAAACCCAAACCAACATATTCTCCCATCCAAATTTATTGTTTGACCTGTGGAACATCCTTCCTTTATTGACTCTGCATGTCTTCGAAATCCCCCGAAAGCAAGTCTCCTCTGTTCCAACGGAAACAGAAATCCTTCCTGATGGAAGCACAAGAGGAAACTCATTTCTTAGCCACACATTTTGTTGTTTAATTTTAGGATGAATTTTGGGATCCGGTTTTCTTTGATATTGAAACATTTGATGAGGATGAGCTGAAATGTCACTGCCACACCCGGGAGTTTGGGACACTCATTGCACCAATTAAAGTACTCACGTGATTTTTTGGTGGTGACATTCACTGGGGGGCTGGAGGGCCCTGTCCCTGCAGTGTTGTAAGCTCTGACTGTTGTAAAGTACAATGTGTTAGCTCTCAATCCCGTGATGTTTTTGGCTGTTACATTCCCACTGACTCTGACTTTCCCGGCTGTGCTTTCCTTGGGTTCGTCTGTCCAATATAAAACCTGGAAAAGGAGGATAAAGAACAGGCAAGTCATTGTTTCCCAGCAACTAGAGGTGTGGCTGGGAAGCAGACGTGCTGACAAGGAAGATTTCAAGGAATACAGGACTTTTTGTACCCAAAACTAGCAGGATATGGGATGTGATGGATACCTGAGCACCCCTTGATTCTCAGACAGCATTGTGGCTGTGGGAGAGGAGCTCTGATTTGGGAATCAAGAGGAAGTCCTTCTATAGTATCCCTCACAATGGGATACTAAACTTCAATTAATCTTGAAGTTTTCATTCATGTGACAAATTTCTGGGCCAGAGCTGCAGCCCCGGGCTGGAAATGCTCCTGATTATCTCAGGTGAGACATTGCTACCAAGAGTCAGGGGAAGAGCTCCACTGTCCATTGGCTTGGAAGCAAGGGATGAAGGACCAGAATGCTGAGGTGGTGTCCTAGTTAGAACAGCTGAGACCAGTTCATCACTGGATGGGTGTAACCCAAAACTGTGTATTCTAGAGCCTTCCATGCCATTTCCCAGAAACTGTTCTCAACAGACCATTTACACCCTCTGCCCAGAGCAGCTCTGACCCCTCAGGCTGTAAACTGGGTGTTCAGAGGCCTGTGGGATAGGAGGGTGCTCCTGTCCTCACACCCACTGTGGAACTCCCCACCCTGAGGGAGGGACTGGGCATTCCTGCCTGAACTGGAGGAGAGATAATCTTGGAGTCTTGGGACTTTTTTAACCACTCGTGGGATCCAGAGGAAGACTGCAGATCACCACTCTCAACCAGACTGCAACCACCACTCTCACCAACAAGTTTTTTCCCTCTCCTTTTGCTTTGGACTCAGGGGGCCCAACAAACACCACTCTGTTCATGCCCCAGGGTGCTGGGTTATACATTTGGGGTTTGTGGCTTAAAACCAACTGTTTTTCTGTATAATCGTACTTATTGTATTATTTTATTAAATTGTTATTCTGACTTATAATCTCTCCTTCGAGTTGGGTTCATTTCCACTGCCAGTTTACCTTTAAACCAGCACAGGTGGGAAGGACAGGGACACATGTGAGGGCTCAGCCCCAGCCCAGACTCACCTCGTAACCCAGCACCCTGCCCGTGTGCCGGTTCCACGCCAGGGGCTGCCAGGACACCTCCACCTCCGCCGCCGACACGCTCAGCGCCGACACCGCCACGGGAGCAATCTGGGGCTCTGGGACACGGGGAGAACACAGCTGGTGGGACATGGGCGGTGTGAAAGGGAGGGAGAGTCAATACAACAGGAAGAGGTGTTGGGGAGCAGCAGGCAGAGGCTCAGGAAGCCTGGTGTAATCTCTGCTTATTGTAGAACATCAGCAAAAGCTGGTTTTAAAATCGGTCTTTACCCGCCTGCCGGGACAGATTTCAGAGGAGATCAGCTGCACTGAGTGGTCTGAAAAACTAGACCCTCTGAGAGCTACACCTTTGAAGGTCTCCTGATTTTCCCAGCACACTCAGCAGGAGCACCTTGGGGACAAACCATTGAAACATGCCCTCTGCTGACAATGATCCTGAAAACCTGCCCATGGCTTTTTTTACTTCCATTTCCCATCTTCTGTTTCATGTCTACTGTCAATATTCAATGAGCAGGTTTAAACAGGCTTCTTAAATCATATCTGATCATGTCTGGGACCCACTGGTGCTACACAACCATTACTAACTGGAGTAACACATTACCATCTTCTCCTGAGTAGATGATGGATACGGAGCTCAGGGTCCCTTCTCCCTCGTTGTTGTAGACACCGACTTTCACTTCAAAAGGAGACAGAGGTGTGATGCTCTCGTTCCTATAAACATATTTGCTGGATTCCACCAAGGCCACGGCTGCTTTTGTCCAGGTGGCAGAGCCCAGAGGCCGGAACATGATGATGTAGCCGAAACCTTCCCCGTTCTGGAGTTCCTCCGAAACCGGCTGCAGTGACAAGGTGGGCAGTCAATAGATGTTTGCAATTATACACTCTTTTAATTGAATCTTCATTCTCTGACTGTATTTTCCCGGTATTGATTTAGTTGACTGTGCCTCAGAGAAGATAATAATGTTTGCTCCATCGGTCAATGTAATATTGAAACAAAAATCAAAATTATAAATCTATCGAGGCAATCAATCCAGAAACAAAAGATCTGATCAGCTCCATTAAAGTGATTCTCTTTCAGGCATGAAGTTTGCAAAATTAAAAGCATTTTCCTCAGTACAAGTTGTAGCTGGGGGTTTTTTTCCCCCCCAAAGGAGTATAGGAATGCTAATTTTAAATAAATGATTTTAGAGGCAAAAAAGAATTGGGAAAGGAGCAAATGTACACACAGAAATATGTGTCAGCTGTATAATTGCTGCATATGAGTACAGTACTTATGTCTTTTTTTTTAGCAAACAGAAAGTCTCAAGTGCAGGGCCACGTTCTTACTTAAGTTTTTAGAACAGAAATGTTACTGCAAGTCAACATGGCAAAATTAATGTTTCTATTAATAAAACCTCATGTCAAGATATGTAGGAATATCTCATGCTGAACAGGCAATTACATCAACACCGTGTCCAGCATGAGCTTCATTGTTTGCATGGGATAAAAATACTTCCACATTGGCTTCTCAAAGCAAGAGAACATTTATGAAACAAAGCCAGCAGAGTTTCTCAGTAAAACTTCATTTACTTCAGATGTTTCCATCAGAGTGAGGGGCATGGAAAAGCAGGCATGGAAAATGGTGCAAAAAGAGAGGAAGACAGAGGGGCAGAGTCTGGTTTTTGTCTCCAACCCCTTCTCCTTCAGAGAAACTCCTGGGAGCAGGAATGGGGTAAGAACATGGGAGAAAAAACATCAGGGAATACCTCAGAAGTTTTCAGAGCAATTATTTAATTCATTTCTCCATAATTTCCTTCTAATTCTAACAACAACTCACACATAACACACGTGTCTTTCCTTAAGTGTTTTACAAACATTAATTTCCCCAATATGCTCCTTTCTTTTTTTTTCCAGCCCTGAGAGAGTTAAGTGTGGGGGATGATGGTGCCCTGGGGATTTATAAGAGTTCAAGCTACTTTCTAGAGCATTTAATTTGTTTCTGAGGCTTCTGTGACCTCAGATTTAATCAAGATGCTTAGTGAGTGCATCACAGAAAGCTGAGAGTCGTGTTCAGCGTTGTTAGCTGGGCATAATTAGTATTTCTTCTGACTATTTTTCGTGACACACTATGGAGTCCAACAGGATAATTTGATTGAGATCTCTCAGGCTGTTTTTGATTTTCTTGTTCTTTTGCTCCCAAAGAGTAAATCAGTAGAGGAGAAAATGGAAAAAAAAAAAAAAAAGAGTGAAAGATGCAGATGGAGGAGAACTTGAACCCAGGAAAAGTGAAGTTTCACTGTTTGCAGCGTGTGGGGAGGGAAAAACATTGGCAGTGACATTTATCTAGTGGGGATTATTTTTTCTTTTGATCTGATTTTTTTCTGTTTGACCAAGCACCTGCCCCATCAGCTCACAGAGGCTGCCTGCCTTCATCCCCACTCCTGTGGGAGCTGCTGGGTGGCTGGAGAAGGAGGGTTCCTTCCCACACCACTCACTTTCCACTCTTTCCACTCTCTGAAATGACCTGTGCTCACCCTTTGCAACTTGTATGGTATTAAAGGTTCTAAAAATGTGTATTCTTTCCTCTCACTGGAGTGCTGGAGAATTAAAGGGCTCATCTCCTTTAACACATAATAGGATATGTCTTGTCAGCACAGTGTTCCAGAATGGGAAACATGTAAACAAAAGTAGGAAAAATGTAAATGCAGAAAATGGCCAAGCAGATTAGTGTGTTAAGCACCTCCTGTACAATGGAGATAAGAGGGTTATACAGACTTCTAAACATCTTTACAACATGCCTCTTAAACTGTTTATTTTTATAAATTGTTGGCTGTAACGCAGCAAACTTGCTGTATATCTTACAGGCTGCTTTCTCTCCACATGCAGGGGGAAATCCAAGCTCAGCCACAGCCAGTGACCAAAAAAAGCCTTTGGATTTCAGCAGGGCTGTGATTTCACCCACGGATTCTCCCCCATTAGCCAGCTTAGGTTAATTGAGCTAATTACCTCCCATGTGATGACCAGCTCGGAGCGGCTCCCTCCTCCTCCACTGATGTTTGTTGGTGCCACCACAGGAACTGGAGGAGAAAAGATGTTGGTGCTTGTGACTGGTTCCCCAAGGCTCAGGATTGGGGCCAGTCCTGTTTAATATCTTTATGGATGATCTGGACAAAGGGGTCGAGTGCACCCTCAGTGATTCACAGGTGACACTAAGCTGGGTGGGAGTGTTGCTCTGCTGGAGGGTAGGAAGGCTCTGCAGAGGGATCTGGACAGGTTGGATCCATGGGATGAGGCCAGTGGTCTGAGGTTCCACAAGGTACAGCACTTGCATCCCAGCACTCCAGGCTCAGGGAAGAGAGGGTGGGAAGCTGGAAAAGGATCTGGTGGGGGTGCTGGTCATGGAGCATGGTCATGGTTCTGGTGCTGGTCATGGTTCACCAGCAGCTAAACATGAGCCCAGATGGGCAAGAAGGCCAATGGCACCTGGCCTGGATCAGGAATGGAGCAGGAGCAGGGCAGGGATTGTCCCTCTGTGCCGAGGCCACACCTCAGTGCTGTGCTCTGGGCAAGGTGGTGATCACTCAAAGGTTGGACTGGATGACCCTGGAGGTCTTTCCAGCTGGATGATCAGATCCTTTCCCAGCTCACATGCAGCTATTCCACCTTCCAACAGGTAGAACAGGGATTCTACTGCATAACAGCCTGTTTTAAATGAACTGAAATGATGTTTACACATTTTCAAGTTTCTAAGGCTGAAGCCACAGATGTATTTGATACATGAGTACCCTGGTTCAAAAAATTAATTAAAGAAGCTTGGAGCATCAAGTATCTGACATTATTATGCCTCATCAACTAATTGGCAAAATGATGTTCCATTCAGACTGTAGCTGCAACACTACTGATTTACTAATTATGCATTTGTTCGGTAAACACGTTGTTGGAGCAATATATTAATTTTTTTTAATTGGCTGGATGCTTTTCTTAGGAAATTCAAAGCTCACACTTTGCTTTTTCCTTCTCCCGAGACTGTAAGTGACACAAAGTTGGTTGTTTAGAGCTTGATCTCCCCAGCACTGCCCCAGGTGTTTGGCACCAGAGGTACAGGCCTGAGATCAGGCTCCGTGTTGGTGTTGGAGGCTGAAGGGGCTTCTCATCACTCCAAAGGCTCTTGGTGGAGGGGCAAACAGACTCTCAGCATTTCCTGCCTCTTGCTCTTCCCTGGGAGAGTTCAAGCCCAGGGTGGATGGAGCTCTGAGCAACCTGGGCTGGTGAGAGGTGTCCCTGCCCACGGCAGGGGGTTGGAACTGGATGATCTTTAAGGTCCCTTCCAACCCAAACCATGATATGATTTTGTGATTCTGTGATATCATGTTTATTTTCACCTGCTAAAGAAGTATAAAAAAAGAGGACAACCCTGGAGCTGGCAGAGACAAGAACCCTCCATGAGACATTTGGACTGGTGCCATCTCCAAACCCTTGGTGCTGCCTTTAGAAATTCCAAGATTGTTCTCTCAATCCCTTTATTCAGCTGTCACCATCTGAAAACCTGATGTGTCGAGTCAAGGCTGAAGATGGGGCAGAAATAGGTGGGATATTTGTGCCTCTGAAGCTTTTTCAGAGCTTTTGGCAAGCTTGGCCTTATCTGCTTGTCTTTCCCTTCCATCCACTCAGTGTCAGCCCAGTTCTGGGGGTGACAACAAAACCAACAGCACTTGAAGTTCACAGAAACTGATGTCAACCCACTCTCACTTCTAGATTCCAGTTTCCACATATTCCAGATTCCACATATAAAACTTTATCTGATTTCCCCCTCTCCAGAAATGCAGGAATTTCAGGATAGTTTTGCTGTGCAGCCACAGAAGCCAGTGCAAGTGCAAACAGTCTGGGCTCTCTTGGAGGGTTTTGTCACTCACAATCAATGTCTTTGTGCACATCGGAGGCAAATAATCTCAGACTGACAAGAGCTGCATTAAAAAGGCAAAACAGACTTTCGAGCCTTGTGTTTCCCTGTTTCGTGATCCAACTGATGCTCAATTAGCTCATGTGTTAAATGTGTTCAGTACTTACTGCATTTGCATGGGGGAAATTTTGTACCACTGCTCAGTGGAGCCTCAACTGGGTCAGAGTTGAGAAACAGATGAAAATTCACAGCTGAATGCACCAACAGAGGCTCAATTAATTCGCAGCTCCATTTTAATGAAATGAACAGTGGCTCATTTGCATCCACAAATCTACTAATGCTCCGATTTCAGCTGGCAAAATTGTTATTACAACAGTGAAGCTCAAATTCACCCTTTCCTGGCCAGCTGTTTGCTGTCCCCACTGTCCTACTGCTTTCGGTCTCCTGTTCTGATTAAAAAATTAAGATGATTGCACAGCAATGGTTGAGACAGAGTTATTTACAGCAGTGAGGGGATTAAGCAACTAAAACTTGAAGAGAGGCTTTTTCTTCCTTTTGTTAAACTTCAGACAGTGCTACACTGTAAGGAAATAATGTTCCTTGTGTTATTGCCATGATAAATAATACTAATTTTATTGTTTCTTTCTCTTTGTAGCCCTAGCCCTGTGAATCCCTCTAATAAAAAAATAAATACATTAAAAAAAAGCTTTAAAAGTTGAAAGCTTTCACTGACTTTATGGCTGGTTTTGAATATCACATTTTACAAAGCCCTTGGTAACAGCAAGAAAGACTGATTTTGGCTTCATGTGATGGAGAATATATATCTGTGATAATCTGCTGGGAAATTTAAGAAATCTGACCCCTCTGGAAGGTGGCCCTGCCCATGACAAGGGGTTGGAAAAAGATAGTTTTTAAGGTCTCTTCCAACCAAAACCATTCTATGACTCTACTTTGAGAAACAAATAGATCCCCCTTTCTAAGGAAATTGTATTTTTTCCTGTATAAAGTACAATAGTCCATTTTGAGTCCTGTCCTGAAATGCAGTTTGCCAAACTTCAGAGCTTGGCAAATGAGAAAAACAGAGAAGAGAAAGTGGATTGTAAAAGCTGCTTCCATTTTACCGCTTTCAATCCTACAAATAGTGATTTTAGAGGTGGGAGAGAGTTGATAAGCAGGGGGCTGGAGAAACATTAAACAGACCAAAGGCTTGGGCTTCAGATAAATTGTACTAAACTGAGCAGGTCAAAGGACTGACCCTGTCAGTCACCCAAGAATGAGTCTGCTTCCCATGAGTTGCCAAGTCCCAGAAGATAAATGGGTAGAAGTTAGACAGATAGTAAGGATCCCACCCTGGAGTCAGTGGGATTTGGATGCTGTGAGTCATTTCCTCCAGTTAAAGCCAATATCCTGCTCCTCCTGATGCTCAGATATCAAACAGAGGTGTTTGATTTCTTGTGCTGGGGTATGTCAGACAGCTGATGTTATCATTTCACATGCAGGCCCCTGAGCAAGGGATAAGCTTGGTTTTAATTGGAAGAACACAAATGTTGTTCCTCAGTTGCCTGAGCGAAAGGTTGTGTTCAGGTTAGGGATTAGAAATATTTTGGGACATGGCAAAGGGAGGAAGCATGGGCCAGCTCCAGCCTATAGCACAGAATGGTTTGGGTTGGAAGGGACCTTAAAGACCTCTAGTTCCACCCCTGCAACCTTCCACTAGCCCAGGTTGCTCAGAGCCCTGTCCAGTAACGCGCTCAGGGGAAGGTTCCCCACCCATGGGAAATAACCCTGTAGGAGTGAGCAGCTCTGCTGCAGAGAAATTCCCACACCTGGGACCTGACAACGTGCCTGGGTGGAAAAAACTGCCAGAGAGCAGAGACTTACCTGCTGCTTTGGTTTTCAGCAGAGCTGATGGTCTGCTTGGCTCCCCAATCCCCACGCTGTTGCTGGCGACCACACGGAACTCGTACTCAACCCAAGGGCTCAAATCAACCACCGTGGCCTTGTGAGTCCTGCCATTAATGACTTCAGGAGCTAAAAAACCAAATGTGACAATGACAGGGGATTTTTAAGGTAGAAATTAATGGTATGGGAGAAAAAATTCCAGGCCACTCCCACGTTTCTCACCTGTGGAAACCGCCTGCCATCCCACCGAGAACGGAGTCCTGGTCTGGACACTGTAGATCTGGACTGGACTGTTATTCTCTACTCCAGGCTTCCAGGATAACACAGCAGTAGTGCTAGAAACATGTTCAACTTTAACATCTTCTGGTGGACCTGGGGGGCCTGATATGATCAGCATTTTGAGAGGAAGGTATTGGGAAGAGAAGATTCGTTGCTGGAATGGGTTGGGCAGGTCTTACTTTCCCAAGCCAGTGGAATTATTCATGAAGCTGCAGTGGCATAAGAGCAGCACAACCTCTAAGTGGTGGCTCCTTGCCTGTGTTACATTTTTATAGGGAATGAGGGTGTGTGAGTCAGGAAAATTAATGTCTTTATGTTGCTAACATGAAAATTACAAACAAAGGAAAGAGGGATTTTTTTTGGCTGACAAAGAAAGTTACTCAATGTGTCTGTTGTTGAACCATCCAGCATCCTCAGAATTCCTGCTGAATTCAAACTGAGGTTTAGGAAGAATGCAGGATGGGGCATTACACAGATTTCTGATGTCTCTGAGGGTTTAAAAGGTCTAGCCCATCCCAGCATTTCCCTCCCTGCTGGCACTAAAAGCTGAGTTGGTTGCCCATAGAAAATATTTTTCATATTATCTTCAAACAGGGGAAAGGAATGAGGCCTCTTGACTTTCCCAACCTGCACAGGGACCCAGAGATGCCTGGAGGAAGTGAAATTAGGGGACCACATGGACCTGTGTGGCCAGAAAACATTGCCTTCCAAAGAGCCCATGGCAGACCAGGGTTGGGTGAACACCAGGACCGTGTTGGCCACAATCTGAATCAATTTTGGGGCCAAGAATACAAGATACAAAGCATTTAACTATTGAAACGTTGAATTGATATTGGGATTATTTAAACAAGAGCCGATGGTAGGAATTTGGGATTCCTCCAGAAGATATATGTGTCCCCATTTAACAGACATACCTCTCACAATGATATCTGCTGCTGCAGATTGACTGTCTAGAGTTGTTTGCACCATGCACACATATTTCCCAGAATGATGGAGCTGAATATTTCTTATCATCAAATCCCCAGCAGATTCCTGGAGATACAAAAAAAAAAAAAAAAAGGTAAACTAATCCCTCACAACGTGCTTTTAGTTCTGGGCATTTTTATAAATTGCTCAATATTAATAAAAAATTCAGCTTTTAAATTAAAATATTCATAGCTCTCATCAGTTTCTTTCATGTGGACATTTTTATTATGGCTCCACAAATAACTCAAGTGCTTTTCTGAAATTTAGGGAAGAGAAATAAATGGTTGCAGCCCCTTGTAAGGAAACAGCGATTTGCCAGGCACGTAAACAGGGATGGGAGAATTATGGTGAACATTTGTGTGGTCTAGAGACTGTGGCAAAGGGTTTTGTTGAGGAGTTTGGGAAACTTACCCTTCCAATCCTTTCAAAGTGATTTATTCCTCTGCTCAGCTCAATTCTCTGGCCATTGAATGACCACGTGAACACCACGGCAAGGGAGGGGTCGTGGGACACCTGGCAGGGCAGGACGATGCTTTCTCCAACTGTTGCATCCGTGTCAGAGGGTGGAATAGTGATCACAGTCCTTTCTGAAGAGACAAAAACCAGATCGTTTCGATTAAAATGCTTATAAAAATAGTAGACCTTGAAGGAGTTTTGTCCCATTGCTGAAATGATTTCAAATTGGCCCAAATGTTTGATAATAAAGGAAATTATCTCTAATAAAATGATGATGTCAGAACACTCTTGCCTGTGGGTAGCCCATTGCTTTGGCAGTACCAACCCAAGGAACCCTGTGTGCCTCTAAGAGTGAACAGATGTCCAGGGCAACATCCTAAATTAGTCATATTTTACTTTGCAAAGCCCATAATCAATAGTTATGATTTCAGCTCAAAAAGTACAGACTTCATTAAGACTCTTAAAAACATCTTCAAACTTGACAATCTCTCCTGAGCAGAAACTGCAGCAAAAGCAAAATTGCTGTTCATCTTCACCTCCTTTATACATGGCCATCCTTAATCTATATTAATGTTAGTGCTGCTTTACTACACAGCACTGTTTAGGTTACAGCTTCAAAGATACTTTCCCAGGCAGGAAAACTATTTTTTGGATCATTTTTAACCCATTACACTGAGAAACAAGCTTGCAGCTCTTATTAAGGGAAGTATTAACTCGCTGAAGGGGAAAGAAATGGGTTTATATGGCTTCACTTGTGTTGATATGACTGGCAGGCAGATTAGAGATAACAACCACTTTGTTGTAAGCAATTCCCTTGGATAAAGCTTTTGTGTGTGAAAGTGTTATAAAATAGGGAGAATTTAGACACCTGCATGAAATGAGAGCAGAATCCTTTCAACAATATTAATTTGTTCTGAAAATAATGTGAGAGGAGGAGAAGGAAATGTGCACGAGCTGTATTAGTTCAGTGTCATCACAGCTTAACTCTGCGTCAGAAATCGTCAAGTCCCAGACTGATTTGGGTTAGAAAGGACCTTAAAGCTCATCCAGTTCCACCTCAGGGACACCTTCCACTAGCCCAGGTTGCTCCAACCCGGCCTTGGACATTCCAGGGATGGGGCAGCCACAGCTCCTCTGGGCACTACCCTGTGCCAGGGCCTCAGGAGTTTGGTTTTCCCAAGGCTGTGGTTCCAAGGGGTCAGTGCATCAAGGGTATCCAGCCCCTGACCTTCAAACCCCTTTTCAGTCACATTGTCCCCACCTTTGAAGACACAGATTAGTGTGTGAGTGGAGGTGGAAACTTGCAGGGTTTCTTCCCAGGATTTGGGTTGCTCTGGTCACTGGGTGAGGGATTGGGTGGCAGTGGGCAAGTAGAAACAAGGGATTCCCCCAGTTTCTTGCCCCCCACACCCATCTGACCTTTCCCTGCTGAAAGATCTGCACTGGGTGAGGGACTGGATGGCAAGGGGCAAGCAGAAACAAGGGAGAATGTTGCATTTTCTTCTAACTTTATGAAACGGAACAGGATCTTACTAGTTTGGTGATATATAATGATATAGCAGAGATCAAGAAATATTTTCCAAGGAAAACTAAGAAAGAACCTGTCTGATTTGTGTTCTAATGGACAAATTAGTTTGGGGTTTTTGGTGTCATCCAGAGAGTGTCTGAGGTTCCCCTCGTGAATACACAGGAATTCCCCTTGGAATACACAGATTTCTCTGCACACTCTGATTGCTCTTCCAGCCTTGTCCTCACTGTGGCATCTCCACCAGGAGCTGAGGACAAGGTCTGCAGAAATGCTGTGGCCTCAGAGGACTGTCTTAAAGATACTCCATCATTAGTTTGGAGAGATCTCTTCCTCTCCCTGGGAGCAGTGTGTCACATGCCATAAATTCCAGATGATTCCAGGGCCACGTTCTCTCTCTGTTGGCACAACTCCACTGATTTCAGCACATGCTGGCAAAAACCTCAGCTCCATAAATCTCCAATGAAGTAATTCCACTGAGGAGTGCAGGGAACTTTGAATACATAATTTTAAAAGGTATCTGGGAACTCCAGAGAAACCTCCACAAAGTTTTCTCTTCTTGCTTGTCCTCCTGTACTTCTTATTCCCACAGCTGGAATAGAACTGCATAAATGACACTTAGAGGGGAAACATTAATTTGATTTATGGTATTATCATCTTCTTGTAGCTCTTGTTCATCCTTCTCACACCCAGTGATCCCACTGATGCAGTGTTCACTTCTGTGATGTTTTCTGCTTCTTTTATGGATTTGTCTCCAAGAATTCCACCTCAAATACTTTTAAAAGCTTCTTAAAAGCTCTTGGTTCTGTGTTATCTATCTTGCTTAGCAACAGCAGACATGCATTATATGGCAAATCCCATTTCAGAGGAGAAAAGGGAGAAGACGTTGTGAGTGCTGGAGGTGTAATAAAGACTTCTTCCACAAAGAATAAACAACTCAATGAGCAGCAATAAACTTAATTTGCACATTAGATATGCTTTTCCAAGTTCTGACATTTCAGTTGAAAATAATGCTGAAGCAATGAGGCCTATAATTGAACAGCCAAAACTTCTCCAGAGGGGAAACAAAAACAAATGTTCCCTGCAAACAAGATCATTTTTATACCATGTTGTTACTCAGTGTTTTAATAAACTTCATAAATGCCAAACTAAATATTTTTTTTTGCATGTTTTAATGTGATTTTCCCATATTGCTCCAATGTATGTGACATGTGAAATGGTACAGAACCTTAACAAAGAGCTGCCTAAACCCTAAACTTCTTGGTTTATCCTTTGTTGGCTGTGCTGTGGCATCATCTCAGATCACCCCTTGTGCTGCATCAGTGCTAATTGATCTTTCAGAAGATGAGCATGGAAAAGATTTCCCATCACCAGATGCAGCAGGCTGGGGAGGAGGTCACCCCTGCAGGCTACAGTAACTCTGAGAGCACTGAAAACAAGAATATTAAGGAAAAAGGAGAGTTATGAGTTGGAATCACAGAGTGGTTTGGGTTGGAAGGGACCTTAAAGCTCAAAAGAAAATCCCAAAGTACCTTTCACGACGAGGTTCCCTGAATTCCTGGCAGCTCCAAACTGGTTTGTTGCTACACAGGTGAACACTCCAGCGTCTGCCCTGGTGATGTTGGAGAGCCTGAGGCTGCCATCCTCCAGGAACACCACCCTGGGGAAAACAAAGAGAGGAGAACCATGGATTCACAGCATGGGTTGGGTTGGAAGGGACCTTAAAGTCCATCTCAATCCATCTCATGGGCAGGGACACCTTCCACTAGCCCAGGTTGCTCCAAGCCCCATCCAACCTGGCCTTGGACACTTCCAGAGATGTGGAAACCACAACTTCTCTGGGCAACAATAGAAAAACCAGAGTAAAAAACCAGACTTCTGTTAGATGAAAATGCCACACTACTTTTAATATCGAAATGTTTCCATTTTTGTTCTCTCCTCCAGCCAGCTGAATATGTATCAACCAATTTTCACCTCTGCTTATTATTGATTTCTGTATTAGCAATGTTATATTGACATCCTGGGATTGATCACTAACTTTTCCAGCTGGCTCTCGAGCAGCAAAATCCAGAGTCTCCAGAGAATGAAGGAAAACTCAATTTATTACTTAATTGTGCTGTATTTTACCAAGGGGGCATTTTTTTTTTCAGATCCCAGTGCTCCTAAACCTTACTAAGGTTGTGTCTGAGCCCAGTTGTCAGGATTATTATTAAAGGATATTAATTGACTGGATGAAATGTTAAAATGGCACCTCACAAGCCAAGGAGCCAAATAAAACACATCATTGTCTCACAGGGTCCCCAAAGCCCCTTATCAGTCACCAAGTTGTTTGCACCACTTAGCAGAATATTGGGGAAATCGCATTTAATAGTAATTTCAGGACCACTCCTGGTGGTCCTGAAATTAATTATGGACATTAATTATGAAATTAATTTATGGAAAAAAATTAATTTTTAATCTTGTTCATATGGTTCTTCAAGTCCATGAGATGCTTTAGGATGTAAGTCAGAACAGAGACTGGAATATGATTTTGTGGGATAAACTCTCACTGCATGCCTGGCAACCTCCAGCTGTTACCCACGAAGTACTTCAGGATTTTGGGATCCTCTTCAGAACACACAGAACACATATCTTAAAGCAGAAAAGTTTAAAATGAAAACTGAATTAAGTAAGCATCGAATTTTTGCACAGAAAATATTACCCTGTGATGGTTTGTCACTGTTTTTCTCAGTTCCTCATCTACGTGTTGCACCCGGTAGGTGTGGAAGTTCTTCACCAAATTTTTTCTGAGTTTAGAAGAAATTTAAGACATGAAGCTCCTGGAAGTTTTGTAAAAATGGATTCAGGATCTCAGCTCCTCTTGGCAGTAAACACACTCCTTAACAGGCATAAAAAAATCTGTCCCCAACCAGAGAAGAGCTGCCTTCAAATGCCACACTTCCTTACACCTGTCAAAATCCAGCCAGAAATCCACAGGAAACCAGGCTTCATTCATTCCAGCACTCACAGCAGCTCTGCATCATTTTTTATATTCCTCTTTTAATTGACATTTAACTCTAAACCAAGAATCCTTTTATAAAATAGAAAACATCTCATTCACGCATCACAGCTTGGGTATTTAATATTTATTACTAACAGCACAAGATTGGGTGATGTAATGAATTATTAACGGAAATGAACAATCACAGGAGCAGAAGTCTGAGCTGGAAGTAGCATCAGAACCATTAAACACACAAAAAACCCCATCACAGTGTCTCCCTGCTTTCCTCTCTGGGATTTATACACTTGTAGCTACACGAGGAACACGCATCAGACCTTGTCCTGCTTCCCAGGACACACTTCCAGCCTCTCAGGGGTGAAGAGAAGCACTAGACTGGGATTTCTGGTGAACTTTTCACTTAGATCCCCCCAGTTTCACGTCCCCCACACCCATCTGACCTTACCCTGCTGAAAGATCTGCCCCTGAGCAGGGCAAGGGGGATTTAGGAAGGAGAGAAGCTGAGATGTTCCTGTGGTTCTGGGCATGCTGTGACTGGGGTGTGGAGCTGAGAGGGAAAGGGATTTAGGCTTCAATGAAAAATCTTTGTTTCCTTGGCAATAATCACCAGGTACTGCAGCAGCTGTTAGTTTAACATTTGTAGGACGGTGAGGAAATAAGTTCAGGTTTAAAAATCCATTGTAGATCCATAATAAACCTGAGCAGAGCAAAATAGGAAGCAAAAAAAACCAAATACACTCTTCAGCCAACTGATGTATCAACTAAATGACATTTTTTGGATAAGGAAGGAGGAATGAAGCTGTGCCAGGGCAGGCTCAGGGTGGATCTCAGGGAAAGGTTCTTCCCCCAGAGGGTGGTTGGGACTGCCCAGGCTCCCCAGGGCAGTGGGCACAGCACCAAGGCTGCCAGAGCTCCAGGAGGGTTTGGATGATGCTCTGGGGCACAGGGTGGGATTGTTGGGGTCAGGAGTTGGATTTGATGATCCTTATGGGTCCCTTCCAGCTCAGGATGTTCTGTGATCCTGTATTTCTATAACAAGAGCCTTTCTGCTGCTGTGACAACCCTGCATCAAAACAAGACCCAAGGGTGTCTCTCCCTTTTGGCAGGGAGACACACAAGGAGACATTGTTCCAAAGGCAGGTTTAAATATGAAGAAATTCAAGTATTCCACTCTGCCTCTGCCCTATTTTTTGCATTAATGATGCATTTCTTCCCATCAGCTTTCACCAGCCACCAGAAAACATCATCAGTAGGAATTGCTGGTGATAAAACAGTGGATGCAACTGAGTGGTTGGGTAACATATGGTGTTCATCAAACAGCCTCCAAAGAGATTTGACTGTGAATCAGCAAATGTTCATAAATTGGATACCTGAATCATAAGTTATAACAAGCCACTGTGGTGTCTTTCTCTCCATCAAATATTGATGACCTGTTATTTTTACTGTAGTTGCACCTAAAAGCTCTTAGGTGCAAATTAGAATCCGAAAGTGAGCACGAGGCAAAAAGAAAAGAGAGTCTCAGTCCCCAAAAAGCTTAAATGTAGATAAATACAGAGGAAAAATGGGCTGTAAAATATAGAATAGCAAAGAGGACAAGCTTTGAAGGCACAGGCTCTGACTGCAGTTTTTCCACTGAAGTTTAGTCATGTCTAACTCAGATTTTTCCCCTCCATCCTTCATGTGGATTTGAGCCCTGAATAATTCCTATTTTTCTAATTTATCCGCTGAGAGTGGTTTGTACCCACTCAAGGGCTGACAAAGGTGATGTTTGATCTGAAGAAATGCTGTTCTGAAACAATATTTCAATGGCTGGGCAGGCTGAGGGTGGAATGGCTCTTTCAATGGATCAAAAAACAAGAGCTTAGCAGAGAGAAACCACGTGCTAAGGAGAGCCTGAGAGCTCTTTGAAACAGGTCAGGCTACCTAACAACAATTAGGGAGTGAGCAGTAAATAAGACACTCGGGCAGAATTTATCTAAGAGCACAAAGAACTCCAGAGTAATTAGTTTAGCGGGGAAGGGGATTAAAGAAAATAGGAAAAAAAATTGAGAAATTTCCAGCTGTCCTGAGGTCAGTGTCAGGAGAGGGATGAGAAACAGAGCCCGGCCAAAAATCAAGATGATACATTTCAGATGCAAGACAAAAAAAATCCATGTGAAAAACTGCCCCCGGTTGCCACGAACAACAAAGTTGCCATCAACTCCCTCAGAGCCGCGACTTTCCTCGCTGGGTGGGTTCAGAGGGGCTGCACTTTGTCCTCTTCCATTTGTCTTTCAAATAAGGGAGCTGGGATGCAGCAGGCAATGGGAATATTTCCTTTAATGGGCTTTGGATCGAGCTCTAACAAATGGCTTAAAAAGAAGCTGTGAAATGCTGTCTCACCTGCTGAAAGGCTTGCTGAAACCAGCGCCTTTCACAACATTTTAGGCTGTGTGAAGGCTGTAGATAATAATTCTTAGCAGCTGCATCAGAAGACGAGGTAATTCCATGACAGAAAAGTTGAACTTGTCCAATACAATGCAAGGAGAGTATTTTGTCTGCCAGGAAAACTGGACTTCTCCCTATAAATAAATAAGTGCCTGTGGAGGGACGAAAAGCACAAGATCTGCAGCAGATTTAATGGATGCATGCCTGGGAAAGGAGGAGAAGGAAGAACTCGGGGCACAGCTGTTCACAAAGCCCTGATGCAGCAAGGGATTGCTTAAGCATCAGCCTGAGTCTGGGCTGGCATCTCTGACTTACAAAGTGCTTAAATTCTTATCAGAGCTGTGCTGGTGCCTCTGCTCCTGCCTGAGTCACACAGGGGCTGCCTCTGGGGAACAGCTCCACTAAACAGAGCTGCTGAGAGGAAAAGAAGAGACAAAAATCCAGTTCTGTAAATCCATAACAAGTTTCTGCCCACAAGGGCAAATTAGGAATACCCAGAAATATCATTCCATAGTCCCAGGATGGTTTGGGTTGGAAGGGACTTTAAAGATTATTCAGTTCCACCTCCTGCCATGGGCAGGGACACCTTCCACTAGCCCAGGTTGCTCCAAACTGGTCTTGAACACTTCCAGGGATGGGGCAGCCACAGCTTCTCTGGGCAACCTGTGCCAGTATTTTACCATTGTCATTGTAAAAAACTTCTTCCTTATATCTTCTTCCTTATATTTATTCTGGGGGGACCCCTGGTGGCCTAGTGGTTAGCATGCTGGACTCTCACCGCTGCGACCCAGGTTCAAATCCCAGTCCCCCCGGGCAGATGGAGCCCGTTAGCCCTGTGAGGCCATCCATCTATGAGAAGGTCACTCTAAACAAACCTACATCCTGAGGACCTCACTGCCATTGTCCAAGCTCGCTTGGCCCCGGCAGATGAACCTTAGGATTAAAGGGTGGGCTCAGTTCAGCGCAGGCTGTGTCTCACCTAAAAAATCCATTGCGCAGGCTGGAAAGGTAAAAGACCTTTCCCCAAATCTTCGTTCGCGAAGACTGGCCATTATATTATTATATATATTTATTCTAAATCACCCTCTTTTAGTTTAAAACCATTACACATAAGTATTGAAAGTCCCCTCTGAGTGACTCCACACGCAGAATGGATGAACATCACGTGCAGGAAGGGAAAACAAACAGCCCAGCCAGGACCTGCTGGAGTCAGAACTCTGTGTGATGTTCAAAAA